TCAATTTATTAGTGAGGTTTAAAGCAAAGCTGGAGAAGGGGGATTGAGAAAACTTGAAGCGTGTTTTGGGGTGCACTGAGATCTTATAAATCTATGAAATTTAATATTGAAGTCTTAAATGTCTGCCTGTCTGTTCTTGGGGCTTTTTGTAGGGTATATATATATATTACTGTGTGTGTGTGTGTGTGTGTGCGTGTTTGTAACTACGTATTAGTGTTAGTAAGCACTAAATCGGCTAAAGTCTATTGGCTACGTTAACATTATTCATATTATCGTAAGTATTGTTAAATTTGTTAAGTCATTGCATTTTAGTGTCTATTCGGATTATCTATTTTGTAATTAGGCTGTTTGTTCGTTCGCTGCACTCTATTTTATTTATTAATTGTATATATACTATTCGTATTATGTATAAGTATGTGTATATACTATATATGATGTATAAGTAACCTGAATTCTACATATAAATATATATGCACGTCTTATCTTTCTGTATGATTTGTATGTACTAGTATGTATATAATTTACAAATATGTGGCTTCCTCATTATACATATACATATATTTAAATCTCAATTATTCTCATTACTCGAGCGTTGTTTCCTGCTTTTTTCCTTCCTTCCTTCGTTCCTTCGTTTTCTCCTTCTTTTCTGTTCATTCTAGACTCTGGCCTATATATTTATTTTCATTTTTTTGTTTTGTTTTTATTTTTCATGGAAAAAAGTCAACTATACGCATATATATTTATGTATATATATGTAGCTAGATCTATATATATTTTAGTATGTATATAGTTCGAGTTGTTGTTGCAATATTTAAAAACTTGTCGATTTTTTACAGATTGTGTAAAGGTTTTGTTTTCGTTTTTGTTTTTGTTTCCGTTTTGCGGCTTTGTATAAAACTTCCTACATAAAAGTTTACAATTTACGCGATTGCTTACAGAATTCTCTAGATTATATTTCAAGTGTGTGTGTGTGTGTGTGTGTGTGTAGAGAGAGAAAGAGAGAGCGAGAGAGATGTATATATGTAAAAACACAAGAAGTTACAATATTTTTGTATACATATATATATATAAGAGTGACGCAAAACGCGTCCAGCTACAGCATCGATCGTCCTCATGAAATCTGTTTGTTACTTTTTATATTCTATGTACAATAGGTATTTAATTCTGTCGACTTTAAATGCGTTGGAAGTGCGTGTTGTTGCACCGGTAATATATATATATATATATATATATATATATATATATATATATATATATATATATATATATATATATGTATATACTATAAGTATATCTTATATTCTTGTTAAACCATCATCAACCCGAGATCATCGACTGTGTGTTGTCTCTGCGCCACAAGTTTCTCATACATATCTAGAATATAGTACACTAGTTTTCGAGTTAATTCGCTAAACGGAAAGTGGCAGTTTTTCACTTGAGATGCAATTAGTGGGACCAACAGCTCGGGAACACCTGCTAGTGGCAGAATCGGCGCTCTATAATCAAGCAACTTTAAAGCATATTTGCTGTTCAAACTCTATTTAGTTTGCTAAAAAACAATGCAGCCTGGTCACACTTTTGCAACACTTTGGGCTTTTTACAACACTCAGCATGCGAAGAATTCATAGCAAGCAAGTATCCTTCAGCTTAGTATACGAACTTTAGAAATAATCAAAAATGGAAACCCCATACGGAAAAGCTGGGAAATTTCACATGCCCTTCAGAAACCTCCAAAAAACAAAAGGCTGTAAATATGCCAGTAACGATCTCAGCACCTCTGACATCATCCATAGGAACTATAAATTTGCAATGTAAATAAGAATTCGAACAACTACTTATAGAGAGTATATTAAGGAAAGTAAAAGAATTGGAATCTATTCTGTAAAAAGCCGAGAAGAGATTCTAGAAATTTAAGCTGCATGTGCAAACTTTGTTCAATTTTTCAGAACTTCTTTCAAGTTCAGTTTTTAAAAGTTAAAGAACTTGAATACTTTGCTGGCCTTTCAAGATTTGTTCACTACTCGAAAATGATTTGTGAAAAGCCGAGAAGGAATTCAAGAAAATTAAACAAAATTTGCAAATTTTCTTCTATTCTGAAAATCTTAATCTTTTCAAACTTTTCCAAAATTCTTCACAATTGAAAAATAAATAAACTTGAATCTGAAACATCAATCTATTCGAAAATATTTGGAAAATCCGAGAAGAGATTCAAGAAAATTAAAATGAATTATCAACTTCTGGAAATTTCTGAAAAGCTTATACAAACTTGAATCTTGAACTTTTCAAAATTTCACTGACGTTTCAAAAATTTGGTAACTCTCCAAAAATGACTTCGAGTTCAATGAAAAAATTTAACTAAAATTGCTAATTTCTCTTAATTATTAGTTCTTAAAAGCTTACAACTTTTGTCGCCTTTTCTCTCAGTGTACTCAAGGCCGCCATATTGGAAATATATATACGAGAATATAGGAAATTAAAACGATGGTGGTACTAGTGTCTAAGAAAATAAAACAAGATGTTAACTTGTGTTTTGTGTTGTTGTTTTTTTTTTTAGTTGCGTTTTGAAATAAATCCAAAAAACTATATTTATTCAAAACTGCATTTTTGTTATGTATATAAAAATGTTTTTTTTTTGTTTTTTCTTTTTTTAAAATAATGTGTATAAATACAAAGCAATTTCATTTAAAAAAAATTAATTATGTATATAAAGCATATTAAATAAAATTCAATCAAAAAATAAACAATTTATAACGAAAAACACTCGATTTATTCTATTTGATTGTAGACTGTAAAAACCGATGTACAAAAATATAAACTCTGTTCTGTTCCAACAACTTCGATCGCCCACAATTTGGGACAACAAAAAGTATTGGATGGGGGTGTGGGGTGTGTGTTTGTGTGTTGCACTGCAACAGATTTATTAGACCGGAAATCGGTGGTCTTAATAGGTGTGCTGCATCAAGGTGTAGTAACAATTCAATGGATATACGTAATGCCAACTAATTATGAATGAAACAATAAATACCTATATCGGATATATGTTATATAGAAATCTGTTCGGTTTTGCATCAAACTGTGTGCTCTACATTCTCCGTCAATGGAACTCTATTCTTCCTCTTCCTATGCCTAATCCAATTGTAGTTTTGGATTCTGCGAACACTGCTTTCTGGCCAGACAGGTAAATGTTTTGCACACAAATACACAAATATATAATAATTTGGTTTTAAAAAACTCGTATCAAAAGCATGGAGAGTTTTAGCCAAAACGAAAGTTTTCTATAACAAAAACCCTCCTTGGAACGCACTTCTCATGCCATTTGTATGCTTAGTTATTAAAAAAAAGTTAGTGTGCCAACTTTTTGTCTGTCTGACCACTGCTAAAAACTTGATTATAGAAATTAAGACAATTTCTGAATACACAAAGAAGCTAGTATATAGAAATTTAATTTAAGAGAGTTGTAGAAATTTTTAGAGATTTTGAGATGCCAAAAACTATGTTTACACAATGTTTGCAGCAAATGTTTGGAACGCTCGAAAAGAACAAACATTTAAAAAGCATTTGCTTTGCAAATATTGGCAAAAAGTAGATGTTACAATTCAGAATTTAAAGATTTAGATTCGAGAAATACAAGAACTGATGCTTTTCAATTCATTAGACAAATTCTGCCCACACAAACATGTCTCGGCATATATGTATAGAATTAATCAAATGAATTGGATTGTAAGTGCAATTGGAAGAGCTCCATTGAACATTGAATGTACAGTACAACTTTTGAAAGAAACCGAAATCAAGATAGCTTAGTTGTGTGTGTATTCTGCTTCTATTAAAAATTTGAAAATCCTAAAATTGCTTTACTAACACTATCATATTTATGAATTTATGTTTAATTTCGCTTAAACATATTATGAATTTTGAAAACAATAGATAGTTTACAGATTTGTTTGAAAAGGCGGGGAGAAAAAAAAATTTAAATTAAAAAAAAAATAAGCTTTGTGAACAGCTTAGTAAAAAATAACTATCCCTATGAAGAAAACATATTCATAATTTTAAACTATGCACATAATATATAACTTTATAGCTACACAGACGAACATATGTATGTATATATTTATATATACATATATATGTTGTGTATATATACGATCTGTTTTAAGACTATGCTACCATTTAACTGAACACATTTCGAAGTGAGTTATTTTTTCTTGTATGCCCCGGCTTTGATGTTGAGTGTATGTTTGTGTGGGTGTGTGTGTGTGTGTGTGATTATTTTGTTGATGTTTCTTAGCTCAAATCTCAGTCTAACAAATGCACACACATTTAGATTGTTTTTGCTGTTGTTTTTGTTGGTGTTGTTGTTGTTGTTGTGGTTACTGCTGTGCCTATTACTGTTCTTGTTGCTGTGTAAACAAAACGCTTTTGCTGTTGTTTCTTAAATAAAGCTAAAATATTACAAAAAAATAGATATAGGTATATTATATTAAAATACAGTTAATTATGAATAATTATAATAAAAAATAAAAGAAAATATAATTATAGCTTTAAAGATGAACTAAGTGCGGTGGTGTACTTTAATCATTTTTCCTTTCTTTCCTTCTTCTTCTTCATCTTCTCTTTTTGTTTCTGCTTTTGCTTTTCTACTCATGTGTGCCCGACGCTGAGATCGCCCCTACATATGCGCAAAAGTATTTTGAATTCGATGGGCTGAGAAGCGGATTTGCATGCGTTCTTGAGTTTGAGTTTGAATTTTTTCTGCTGATACCGAATTGTTAACGGTAATTAGTTTGCACAAGAGTTGCAAAATAAATCAAATTGATGATTTATGGAATTGCCTGAACAGAATATTCGTTTGTGAACTAGATAGATGCCAATCTAATGAGCCAAAGTATTTAGTTGAAATGTACTCGTATGTATTGTTTCAATGACGTATTGATGTGGACTCCACACTAGTAATGAGGATATAGATGCCAATCATCACGAACATTACAGCCAACAGGCATATAATGGCGACAGTAAGCGAGGGTGAGCTTGTTGCCTCAAGCAATGGTCGCGGTGGCAGTTCCGGCAGCACTGCAGGCGCAGATGCTGACGACAAAGGTGCTGCTGGCGCTGGGGGCGGTGGTGGTGGCGGTGTCAATGCCAGCGCCGGCGCACGCACTGCCAACGGCAACGATATCGGCATTGGCAGCTTTATGCGACGCAACAGCGTAAAGAGAGCGAGATGCATGGTCGCCGAGGGCAGAGCTAATGATACGTTGTTAAAGTTGCTGATGGTAGTGGCTCAGCTGTTGCAAATGATACGACGAGGGTGGCGTCTGCTGCTGCGGCGCGTGCTGCTGAATTTGATGCTGATGATGATGTTGCTGGTGATGATGATGATGTTGTTGTTGTTGTTGTTGCTGCTGCTGGTGGTGCTGTTGGTGTTGTTGGTGCTGGTGCGGCTGATGTTGCAGCGGGCGCGTATTTGTGGGCGGGTAATAGCCATGCAATGGATACGATGAATGCTCATAATGTGCGTACGTTGACTGACGCTGATGTGGCTGTTGATGTTGCTGCTGCAGCTGCTGCTGTTGTTGTTGCTGCTGCTGTACATGATGGTGTTGCACATGATGTTGCTGCTGTTGCTGCTGCTGCTGCTGCTGATGGGCATAAGCAGCAGCCAGCTCCTGCCTATGTCGCTCATGCTCAGCCTGTTGTCGGGCATACGAGCAGTTTGAGGACGAAGCACTGGTTGCTGTTGTCGACGTCGTTATAACCGACGAGGCCGAAACGCTGGACAGTGGCGAGGGTGCTGTACATATTGGCGCTGGCTGTGGTGGCGGCGGTACGCGACACAAACGCTCGTACACATGATTAAAACTGTTGGACGTTGCTGCAGCCGAAGCGGCGGCGGCTGCTGCTGATGCTGCAGCCAATGTTGTTCCTGCTGTGGCCACCGCCGCAGCTGCTGCTGCTGCTGCCAGTGTTGTTGCTACTGTGACGCCTGTTGTCGGCGTCTCCAGCAGATGATGATGCCGATGGTGGTGATGATGATGATGATGCCCATGATGACTGTCATTGTGGCTGCTGTTGTTGTTGCCGCCACTGCTGCCACTCCCGCTGCCGCTGTTGGTGCTGCTGCTGCCAATGTTGTTGCTACTGCTACTGCTGCTATTGTTGTTGTGGTTACTGTTGCTGTTGGCCGCGACTGCGCTCGTACCTGTCGCCAAAGACGAAGGCGTCGTCGCCGCTACGGCAACATTTGTTTTGCTGGACGACAGCTCACTGGACGCTCCAGGCGCCAGGGTATTTGATGTTGTTGTCGTCGTTGACACACCCACCACCGTCGTCGCTGCCGCTCCTGCTGCTGTCATCATGTTGCACGAGTCAAGTCTTTGTCATTTGGAATTGCTTTGCAGCGCCGAATTAATCTGCGTCCAGAGCTCCTTCTTACACGATTTGGAACTGCGAATATATTCGAGAAAATGCATTAATTTTAATTTCTAAAGTCGCCTTCCTTCACTCAATTGCTCACCGCTTGATCGACTGCAGCCAATCCTTGAACTGTGCACTTCCTTCGGGCGTGATTTGGAAGGCGGCGCGAGCGGCCACCACTATGCTGGCGAACTCCTCATAGTCGCCCTGCGTCAAATGGTACAGCTTCTGATGGATGCACTGAATGTACCTGCCCCGTCCCAGCAAATAGAGAACAATATTAGCAACAGCAAACGAAATAGAGCTTAGAGGGGGCTTAGAGATGGCGAGGAATCGCGAAGATCACTTACATTTGCTGACACTTTTGCACGAGCGGCGTTAGGGCAGAGCGCAAGTGTTGCATGACCATTTGATGATTGTTGCGCCCCAGATAGTGGGCCGACTCGATGGCCACGTCGTGCAACACGAACGGACTCACAATCGAGTTGACCGCACAGATGCAGAACTGATGCAGGTACTGGGTGCCCAGCTTCTTGCTGATCCGCAACAGCCATTTCACATCCTCTCCATATGGAGGGTTCCGGGCATACTTGGCCTGCGGTCTGTCATCGTGAACCCGTCGCGCCAATGTCTCCATCGCCAACATACCCACATTGTAGGCGGCCAGTAGGTAGCGCAGCTGTGTGGGTCTGTGCGAGCAAGATAGAGAGAGAGACAGAGCGAGAGGTAAAGAAAAAGAGAGAGAGAGAGAGAGGTTCAAACATATGTATGTATGTTTGTATGAATAACAAAATGCATAAACTATCGTTCTGCTAATAAACCCTATATTAAGGACCCACAGTTTTTCTTTCTTTTTACTTTTCGGGCATAGAGAACTTCCACTTCCACTTAAAAAACGAAAGCAAGCTTTTAAAAGGCTTCAACGGCTTTTTGAGACGCTTAAAAGTATAAACCTCGTAACTATTGAGAAAAGAGCAAGTCTGGGAGAGTAGCCGGATAACTTATAATTAGATGTTGGAACTGATATGTGAGGGTTTGTTAGGTGACGTTGAAAACGTAAACTTTTAAAGTGATTTCTAAGAAACTTTCTACGAAAAGTGCAAACATCTACGTACAAACTATAGATGCGAAAGGTTTCAAGAATCGGCGGAATCTGTGTCTGAAAAGATAATCTGCCACAAATAAGAATTTATTTATTCGTGTTTAATAAACCCACAAGAGTTTTTCTTCCAACTGGCATTAACTTTCAAATACGAAAGGTTGTGTGGATTCTCTGTTTGCAGAGCTGATCTGCGACCTTGAACAATTCAGCTTGTGGGTCATCTTGAAATACATGGATATGAGAGGGCTTAGCGTTTTGTGCGATATTTTCTCATAAAGCTATTCGAGGGATTTTTAAAAACTGGGTTTTTAGGCCACCTTGATACAAACTGCAAATAGTTTTTTGGTTCTCTGGGCTTAGAACTTGAATGCTTGCTACTTACGTGAACTGATGCGGATTGCGTTGTCGCACCGGTGGTTGTGACTGCGAGGGCGGTTGTTGTTGTTGCGCTTGTGGCTGTTGTTGATGCGTCGGTGGTGGTGGCGGTTGCATGAAAGGGTAGACGCTAGGCGGATGCTGATGCGCGTGTGGATGCTGTCGCATTTGCACCGCCGCCGTCGGTGGTCCATTTGAAGACGGCGCCGTCTGTTGTTTGTGTGGCGGGGGTGGTGGTGGTGCACCATAATAGCCGGCTGCCGCTGTTACTGCCTGTTGCATGTGTTGGGCTGGTGGACCCATTTGCGGGGGTCCCCCTTGGGTCGGTGGCGCGGGCACAAAGGCTGGCGGGCCCGGCTGCATTGTCTGATAGGCTTGCGGGGGCAACTGCTGAAAAGGTGGCGGTGCCTGGAACGGTGGTGGGGGTCCCTGATGGCCTGGCGCCGGCGGTGCTAACGGCTGTGGCTGCTGTTGTGGTGCGGGCGGTGGCGGTTGGTAGCCTGGATAGGCCTGTGGTGGCGGTGGGCCTGCGGAAATGTACATCTGCATTGGATTGGGCGGGTAGCTTAAATTGTGATGATAGATGCCCTGGCAGAAGCTGTACGGCGGATAGGGCGTTAAACCAATAGGCGCCAGCGTGGCCACACCAGGCTGAAACGGCTGCGGTGCGGTAGTAACAACCACCTGGCCGGGTTGCCCGGGCGGCTGCGCTCCGCCAGCACCTAGGGGCGGTCCATGCCCCATGTTGGGCGCCGGCATGCTTAATTGCTGCTGCAGCTCGTGCTGCTGTTGGGACTCGATCAGTGCGCTAAGGCTAACCGCCGAGTGGTCCAGTTGTTCGTCGTGCTGATCGCTGTGCTCGCTGTTAGGCGTATTCCGCATGTAGAGCTCGTACCAGTAGCGTGCCACCTGAAACAATACTTCAGGATAAACACCACCACCCTTGGCCGCATTCTCGACTGTGAGACAGGCGCGCTCCAGCATAAGATCACTCTGTTCCTTACACTGCAGTATGGCGCGTTGGATCTCGTTGGGATTAAGCGCAGCCGCATGGGGCAGCACCGATAGCGCCAATTCAGCTGCAGGATACACCATATTACTGTCCCAGCCGCGCGATGCACGGTCAGCCATACCCGCGGCCTCCGGTGGTGTCAAATGTGCCTCCCATGTATCGATTAGAAAGCTTATGGCCGGTGCACCAATCTCCATGGCTTGTCCGAGGATCCAAGAGACATGTGAGGAGTAGGTGCGCGACAACCAATTGGGACTGACGCAATTATGCAAACCTAGAGCATACAGGCCCAGTTGGAAGGCGCACATATGAAGCGCCCGATGTGGTCCATGATGGTTTTGATTAGTGGTGGCCTGTGTGAAAAGTGAGGTGGATGAGTTGCCACCAGCTTTATTCAACACATTTTTCGCCAGCTCAAACATGAAGTGTGCACTGGCCTCCGACGGTTGATTGGGTATGGACGGGTATGCGCGTTTCCCCTTATAGCGGCTCTCCTTGGTGCGGCTGGTGGTGGTCGTTGTTGTCGTGGTATTGGTGGAGCTGCCTACAGTATTGGCTCCACCACCGGCGGTTGTTGTGCCACCAGGATTTACCATGCTTTGAGAGCCAGCACTAGCACTGCTATTTATGTTGCTACCACTTGCACCACCACTGCTGCCACCCGCCTGCGTGGATGCAATGCTCAGGGCACAGATGCTGACCTCCAGCTCTGCGCTCGTAGAGCTATGTGGTCTGCTATTTCCACCCACAGATCCATAATCGGTGGGAAATAGGTCACAAAGAATTGCACCACCGTTGCCGCCAACTGTGCAACTGCTAGAAGCACTGCCAAAATCGTGCTCTTCACGTCGTGGAGGTTGATTGCTCGGCGTGCGCACAGGTGGATTATTGGAGTAGTAGGCTGGAAGCAGTGGTGCCTTCAGCAGCGTGTGTATATCGCGATCCAGAAGCTTCTCCATAATTTTGGCTATCTTGCGTGGCTCATCCTTGTAATAGTAGAGTAGGGTAAGTGCCAGATTTCCACGTTGACGACGCGTCCCCTCGCACAGCAACGGATGTTCCGCCTCCGAAACATTGGCCTTTAGACCAAGCGCCGCCACAGCGGCCTCAAAACCCAGATTTTCATCGCTTTGCTGCTTATAGAAAGCGTTCGGCCGCGGGCCATTGCTGCGTCCAGGCAGATCCTTGGGAGCAGGGCTAAGTGTGACACCCAGGGAGCCAACTGTTCCACCTGTCCCACTGGGCAGGACAAGTGCATCGAATATAAATGTGGCCAAATTAATTGGTAGCAGTGCCTCGCCTCGTGTCTTAAACGTGCCGCTTCTCAGCTGTTCTGCGCGCTCTCGAATCACGTGCAACTCAGCAGCGCCCAGGGGGATCTTTTTGAGCAATGCCAGAATGTCGGCCTCCTGATTGGCCAACTTCACCTCCAGTGGTTTCGTGCTGGCCGGCGGTCTCGGCATTTCCAAGGCAAACAGACAAATTCGAAACCCTATATGATAATGTTCCGAATTCTCTGATAGCACCGTACAAAGAAAGGCGCACTTGGAGAGCGTGGCAGAGGCAACCACTGTTAACTGGTGCGAGATGGGATTGACGTTCTGCTTCTTGCCCTTACGCTTTGGCGCTGGTGGCAAGTCGAGCAGCAAATTGGGCGGATTAGCCAGCATTTGTTCGGCTAGTCGGACAGCCAGAATGCACGCCTCTCCTCCATGTCCATGAGCATGCAATCCCTCGGCACGGGCTAGCAATATGTCCCAGGCATCCTCCGATGGTCGCACGTTAGAGAAGATGTGTGGCTTATCGCTGGCGACTGCTACAGCGACAGCCAGAGCTCGAGCCGCCGGTATATTTCCCGAAGCCGCTGCTCCTGATGTGGTTGGGGCCACCGACACCATTGGCGTACTTGTCTGGGCGCTTGTTGCACCTGCTCCAGAGGCCAGTGCCGCACGCGCCGCTGCAGATGTGCTGGGCACCGGCGTCAGTTCACCTGGACCGCTGGCGCCACCGCCCATATTTTTACCACCCAAGTCCGCCGCATTTACGAACTCGTCGCCGGAGGAGGAGAAAGATTCATCTTTCGACAGACGTCTGCCAACTACAACTGTGGTGGTTACTCTATGATCTGGTGGTGGCGTTGCCACATCGTTTGCAGCCATTAGCATCGACGAGGTGGATGAATTGGACGAGCCCGAAGCTGATGAGGCCGAAGAGGATGCCGAGGACGCTGATGATGTGTCCGATGTGGATGAGGCATTATTCCGATAGGCGGCATCACTTAACAGACCAGTGGGTGTGGCCAGTGGAACCGCTGTTGATGAAGGAGATGCGGCCGTCGCGTTGTTTGTTGGCGTAGCCGGTAGCACAAAGCCCTCCTGAGAAACGGCATCGAAGCTGCTCTGCGAGTCGGATTCCGTTAAGGATTTAGGCAAGCCACCGACAACGCCGCCACCTACTATAGCACCCGCTTGTGTAGGCTTTATAGTACGTCCACCGGCATCGGTGCAATAGTTGTGACTACTACTGGTGTCCCCGCCAAAGTCATCGTTCTCACAAAAGCCCTCACTGCTGGCACTCGAACGGTTACCATCACCACCGCCACCTGCAGCACCTCCGGCTACGGCAGCGACGCCCACATTGCCAGAGGCTGATGCAGCGTTTGCCGCCGTCGAGCTGCTAGGTAATTCGTCATGCCGCCGCTCCATGAGCCCGATGCTAATGCCAACATCGCCGCCGCCGCCGGCACTTCCACTTGTGCTGCAGCTCGCTCCTGTGCCTAAGCACACGCCTGGTCTGGCAATAACGCTTACTACGCCGCTGCTGTGGCCCGCTGCATCCACAGATGGTGCGCCTACGTTGCTTCCACCTGCACCACTACCACCTGGACCACCCACATAGTAGCGATCGCGAAACGGTCTCTCCAGGCGCTGCTTAAAGACACCACCGTGGAGTCCATGATCGTTGGAGGTGCTGAAGTAGTTGTAATGCTTATTGTTGTTCATCACCGCCTGAGTGGCATTCAGCGGACCGCCGGTACTGCACGACTCGCCCTTGGCATCAGTGTGCTTGAAACAGGTAAAGGGCGAATAGTATATGGGATTTGTGTCGTGGGTGTGCGTAACGCCTGTTATCGGATAGTCCTCCCAATCGAGATAACACGCCTCAATTGCCGGCTTAAAGCCAATGAACATCTCCGTTTCCGAACGTGAATTCTGCTGATGTTTATTATTGTACGATGAGGGCATCATACGACACTTTACGACGCGATCCAGGATCTTGAGATGCCAGGCCGTGAACTGTGCATGCAGCATGTCTCGCTCGTCAGGCGCCAGGCCTGGATTGAGAGCTGCTAGACGCCATAGGGCCACTATCTCATCGCAGAGCGAGCTGCACGCATGTTGCAGTGTCGTCGAATTGGAGTGGGTATTCGAATGCTTGCCGCCACTGTGGCCATGGGAGCCCATCATGAGAGCCAGCTTGGTCTGGAACCACCAGATCAATATCTGATCGCAGGCCATGCACTCTTCTGTGATAATCTCCAGCAAGCGTACCGCATTGCGATCGCAGCGTCGATACATCTCGCGTACAATCGACAGCAGATTCCACATGCCCTCTGGCTCACGACCACGTAGCGGTCGCAACAGGGAACTCCACTCAGCGGCAGCCGGTGGTGCCGAATCTGTTAGATAGTGGACATCGCTGCGGAAAAGAGAGTCCAGAGAGAGAGAGAGAGAGAGAAAGGGTTAGCGAGAGACATGCATCGTCGTCATGTATTTTTACTCACCTAAACACTATGGGAGCTTGTAGGCAGAACTTAATTAATATGCGCTTAATGTTACTATGCAGCGTCTTCTCGTCCAAATACCAGCTGGTCTGGTCATTGATCGAGGCGCCCGCAGTGGGATCCGGCGCTCCGCACACAGTATTAATAGCCGTGGGCTGGGCACTGAGCAGCTCGTCCAGCAAACGCTGAGCTGTCGGCAATATCTGCTGCGGCAGCTCACTGATCAAGTACTGGGCGAACTTTTGTAGCTGATCGCGTTGTAGTCGCGTTAGCGACTCCGAGACGGGCGCACGCAGACACACTTCCTGGGGCTGAGGCCGGCAATAAATATAAATTGAGAATTAGAATTAGGCGTCGATTAAATATATTGTGCAACTTACGCAATGTATGCGATGCAGGCAGACGGCCACCACATGGGAACACCAGTAGGCGGACGAAGTGCACGTACAATTGCAGGAGGAGATGCGTCGTCTGTCGAACGTGACAGCCACATTGAAATATGTGCGCGGCGTTTGGCTCACAACGCTGGCTGAGAGATGGAAACCTAGAACGGGAGGCAGGACAAGGATTAGAGGCACACACATTTAAAGGGCACCTTCCTTCTCCATACCTATTTGCAGAGGATCCTTAACGGCGCGCATCCGAAACAGTTGATCGCCTCGATTGAACTCTTCCGCCGAGCTATTGGCCAGACAAGAGTACAGGCGTATATCCTCCTCATTGTCCGGAAAACTCCAGAAGGCAATGCGCAACTGAAGCTGTTCCGGCACAGGTGGATAAACATGTTCGACCAGTTCGAAGGGTATGTGGGAAGCAACACAGCGTGCTGCGAGCTCGGCCAACGTGGAAACATCTATAAAGAAGAGATGAACGATTCAGTCATTTTTTAGTTCAATTTATTGAATATTTAACACTAATCCTTAAAAGTTACTCGCTCGGGGTACAACTATTGAAGTTTACAGGTAAATAAGGTAGAGGGAGACGGACTGGACTGGACCGGGTAGGGAGGGAGGGAGGGCCTTAGCTAATTGAAACCGACCATGTCTCGCTCACATTTGTTTATCCGTACTGTTTGGCCTAATTAGGTTGGCCTCACGCAAGGCAACCAACGGTCTGTCGGTCGAATCGAACATACGAGTTGCCAGAGATTGCTTTGTTGTTGCTGTTAACCACGCATTAAAAATCGATGTCAGTCAGTCGGTCAAGCAACTGGGAATAGCGAAGGAATTGAAGATGGGGGCATAAAACAAAGAGGATGGCCGTGCGTCCATTGACCGACCAGACATATGCTCATGTTCATGTTGTGGGAAAGCTAATTCAATATTAGTTGCATGCCTTTGTTATGCCTCTTCTGCTTCTATTCAAAAGCAATTTTACCTCGTCGATAAACAATACTGTACAGTGAAAACTCTCTTAATGGACACCTCTGCTAGACGGACACTTTTCTAGAACATTCGGTGTTCTAAGTATCCCCTTACGCGGAGTGTCCGGCCAAGAGAGTTTTCACTGTATTCAACAATTTGGCGTTTAAATAAACAAATGAAGGCATACAACACTCGCACATTACCATATGTGCACACAGAAACACATATGTACATACATATGTACATGTATGTATGTACACGTATTATGTACACACATAAAGACAGACAGACAGACAGACACGCGGTCTCAGCTGCATGTCATCAGAAAGGTCGTCCATGTGCTGCATTTCGTAAAGCGCAAAACAAAGAAAGCGTAAGAGACCTTTTTATAAACAATACAACAAAAGAACCAACACTGGTGCAGGCGACAAGAATAGACACGGTAAGGATTCAGGTGGAAAATGTAGAGTGTAAGCTCTAAGATATCTGGGAAGGCATATTTTTAGCAACGCCGACAACGTTATGCTCGATATATTGGCAGCAAACAAGTTGGAATTTAAATCAAGAGATTTTGATGACTGTATTTCCCTTTATACAGATGGATAGACACATTGAGCTAATTAGGGATTACCTTTTAAGTTTGTTTACATGTCTTTGCAAGTTCTTTTTAAATAATACTTAAACTTTACGACTCAATAACCTATTCAATAGTTACCTGAACAGTTTTATGAAAAAACGTGGTGTATGTTGGTTTCGTTGGTTGACTGTCACCAGATCTAGCTTACACTTTAATTATAGGCAGCGAATTCAACTTCTGTTTAACACTTAGCACTTAAAAGGTTAAGTTTGAAATTAGCAGAACTACAAAACATATAGAACTGTGTAGGTTACGAGTTATACAAATAAACATTTTGTTGCTCAAAACAGTACTTCAAAACATTAAAAAAATGTGCGAAAAAAGAAGGAAAAATTAGCCAAACATTCGATTACGGAAATTTTAGAATATTTAAAAGAAAAAAATGCATAAATTAATCACAAAGTTTGGCGATAAATAAAACAATGCTTAAGGTGCTACATGTATGAAGGTAATTGTTTTCACATAATTAAAATGCTCGTCTGAAGTCGGCTTAGTGAGTCACGCTCAGAAATTTGGTGACCCCTTTTGCTAACCCATAAGCTTAAGTTTCGTCGGCTGACAGGTTTCACACATACACTTGTTCCCTCACGCACACATACACACACATAAACACACAGAGAGAGGTGCGTGCGCGGTCGCCACTGCCAGCACATTGTTTTCTTTCTTGCGCCTTCTATTTTAGTCTTCTTATTTTCTCTTTGCCCTGTTCCGCTTAATTTCAGACATTCTGGCACCATTTTTATTCAAAGTCATTTTCCGCAAGCGTTAAATCTGCCTTCGCTAATAAAAGAGACAACGTCGACTCATGCCTTTCTCGCTCGCTCCTGCTCTTCCCCACCATCCATCCCTCTTCGGTCTCATATTCCTTTATACCACTTTATTCCATTTAGCAGCTGAATAAGAGACAACGGCCAAGGAACCAACAACAGAACACAACACAACTACAACAGCAACAATTAAACGCATTTGTCTGCAGCAAATCGACTGGGGGAACTGTAGAGAAGTGGAGGAGGGGAGGAGGAGGGCCGCTGTGTTGGAGTTGCTTTCGTTGTTTGAGGGCTTCTTTAACTCGAACTGATTCATTCATTTTGTATTCGACTCGTATGCATGTGTCTGTCTCTGTGCCTGTGTCTGTTTCTGTTGCTGTTTGTGTGTGTGCGTGTTTGTTTTAATTTTTGCACATTTGTTTATGCTCTACACCTCTTATAAACCTCATGCTCCAGTTATTTGATAAACATACAAACAAACAATTAAACAAGAAGTTCAAGAGCAGACACAAACACGAACCAACGACTCGCTAATCCACTCACTCCTCCTCTAACACATACAAATGAATTTTTCATTCCATTGGCAGACGATTCGCAGCTTAGAAAGACTCATTTAAAATTAAAATATTCCATAGTCTTGGTAAGGATACGGATAGAAAGTAAGAGTTGAGGAAACCCCCCTATTTAACGAAAAAAAAAAAAACATGATGATGGTTGCGGAGCATGGATTAAGATTAAGATAAGATTGGATTGAGGTTCAGCGATTTTGTGTTAAAAAGTTAATAACTTTTGTAGTCTGAAGCGGTATTTCGAAATAGTTACTACTGTTCTTCATAATTTCTTTAGCTTTAGGGTTATCTAAATCGCCAGTTTGAATAGTGTTCTAACGAGCGAATTCTAGTGTTCAGAGTGTTATGAATAATTTTTAGTATTATGTTAGAAAACTGTACTATCTAAGCTACTTAGGAGAGGCCCTAATATTTCACTATCTATTATTTACTTTGAGGAAAATATTATATACTGATATTTCAATTTAAATATTTATAGATTACCAATACATACATGTATAATATTTTTAAAGTAAACAAATGGTATCTTGCTGTAAAAATCTCAGGAAATAAAAAAGTTCAGACACAAACACCTCCTGAGTTACATTTTCATAAAATATTTATAAGCTCCTATGGGACGTATGTATATGTAGATTTCTTCATTGATTATTGGTTGATTCTCAGGGTTAAACAAACATACATACATACAGTACATAAATATATACATATATACACACATACATATGTACAGGTATGCTCATGAAGTGGCGACAATTCAGGTTATTAAAACAAAAACGCTTCGGCTTCAAAACAAAAGCTAAAAACAAAAATAAAAGACCAAAAAAGAGGTCAATATACATACATGCATGCATATGTACATATGTTTGTATGCATGTATGTACATATGTATGCATGTATGAGTTACGACCGCTGTTGCTGTTATTGGACTTCTGCTGCGGAAGTGCATGAAACTGATATGCAAACGCAGTTATGTATGTCCGTCCGACCATCCATCCCCATCTATCCATTTGCCTGCACAACTTTATCAACGAAATTAAAATCGACACAGGCGCCCCACTAATTAGATGACATGTGGCAACGCCAAGTGCTCAAAGCTCACATAAACATACACACACACATATATACATACATATGGGTGCCATTGTCAGCTTGCGTAGCTAGTTCATTATTTTTGTTTTAACCCCACAACATTGTTGAAAATTTCTTGTTTAATTTTATTTAAATACTTTTAATTTGGAAAAAACTATGCATAATTGAAATTGTTAAGCCAGCGATTGAATTGTTTGGTTTAAGAAATTTTTAAAAATTATTTTCATAAATGTTATATTCTTTATAAATTCAGCGATTTCGGCAATGAGAAATGATCTTATGATACTATTTATAAGGCATTTTGTTATTACAATTGTAATTTTATTTTTCAAAGAAAAAGTCGAACTGAAACTTGTTGGGATAGAAATATTATTATTTTTTGCACTTTCCAAATAAAAGACTGTCGTAATTCCTTTGTTATCTTTGCTATTATTAAGACCGTCTAGGTTCCACTTTAATAGTAAAAGACTAAATTATTATACTTTTCACTACGATTACGCATAAGAGCCATAACATGGAATACATAATAATATCATAACTATTCTGTTAGTACCATGTCCAACCTAGGGAGGGTATAAATATATTATTTGGCCGTTTCTTGAATTCCAAATCAGTGCCAGAACTACCATTTAGTCTTTAAAGAAGATGTTTAGCTAAAATGAGTGGAATTTAAGAGCGGATTTCACAATGAGAGAGCTATTGATGAGGTTTTTTTTGAAGTATTTACCTAACCGACAAACAGCGAAAAAATGTTAATAGTGCTTTGTAAGCTAAGTTGATAAACATTATCAGATTCTAAGCTCAGCCTAGAGCAAAAAGAAACCTTCCACTATGTATGAACATTTTGTATGAGCTGTCAACTTTAGAACCATCTTGCGGTACCAGGATATACCAATCTGGTTAGGCAAGGCATTTGCCAAGTTAAATGAATAATGTATTTAGGAAACGTAATGCCTAACATACATTTTCAAAGCCAATATTAATTGTAAACAAAGTAACAAAGTTTAAGTGCCTCAAAAGTTTAGTGTTCTAGGGTTAAGCATATACATATATATATATATATATATATTATATATGTATTTGTGTATATATATATATATGTGTGTGTGCGTGTTCTTCGTTTATTTATACATACATATGTGAAGGTGTACCCGCTAGCAGTCGCAGCTAAAGTTGTAAAAGGAATCGTCGTCTTATATTTTATTACATGCCACAAGGGGCTAGTCGGAGGGTCTGAAAAGGCAGCCAGCCAGGCAGGCAGGCAAGCAGGCAGGTGCTGCCGTTCTCTGCTGTTGGGTGTATCCTTGAAAAGGTTCTTTGACACAAACAGTACGAAACGCAGCAAAAGAAAATTGCGCGTCGCTGAAGCTGACGCTGACGACGTGGACGTCGGCCACGTTGACGTTGCAGCCAAACATTTGGACGCTTTTGCGGTTATTACGTCTTGTGTTGGGCCATGGCATAAAAATTGCAGCTGACATTGGTAGAGAAGTAGCAACTAGCAAAGCTCCCACTTCAATGGACAATAACAAAAACTGGCAAACGACAGCGACAGCGGCAACAAAACAAAGCAGCACCACCAGCAGCAACAATGGAGGAGAACTGCGAGATTACACATTGATAATGCTGCGACGGCGCACAGGACCCGACCAATCGACCCAACTTCCCATGCTGACCATGCATTCGAGACAGAAAGACACACACACACACTCATTCATTTACAGAAACGTCGTCGTGTGTTTAAAAAGACTAGGGAGGACGGTATAACTATTATCAGCCGACTGAGAGCTACCTTAAAGTTCCAAGTACGTAACCAAACGATTTGGAGGATTTACAACAAACAGGAATAATTAAGCTAACAAGTTAGACGCCTCTGTTTCATTTAGTTTGGTAGATATCGGGGCTCATACATGCAAACAAAAGCGACTTGTCTGAACTTGATTTGCGCAAATGAATTCGACCTAGCTCTAACGCTATTGGAAATAACAGTATTCAGACGTGCAAACAAAACCGAATGCAATTCTAACAACTTATTTCACTATTTAAAATGCGTTTTTAAAGAAACGTGACATGCGTGCTTATAATTAAACTGAGCCACGAAGTTGGGCGTCCCTTACTTCGCCCAAGCTATAGCCCCCAGAATACACAGGTTCATTTGGTTTATTCCAAATACAGCTATATTGTTAATTAATATAAAAGAAGAATTTTCATTCAACTTGACTTGTGTTTACAGGAGAATAGTTCAGTTGTTGAGTTTCCCGCCTCTAACTCGAATAAACTTCAAGATATTATGGTTCAGACATTCAAACAAATTGCAAATACTCGTATATCCGAAACCGCCTCTTACATTCATAAGTAGTCGAACATGCCATTTTGCCCTGCAGACCACAGGGTACAACAACAAAGCATAGCCCGCAAAAAGTCGTGAGTTTGACTTTAGCGATAAGCTACAGCTACAACAGCAGCAGCAGCACGAACAGAGGAAAATGCGACGCTGACTGCGGCAGTGCAGCATCAATGCTATTGTTGTAGTTGCCGTTGTAATTTTAAGCCAATTTTTGTAGATTGTCATGCAACGAGCTCAGCTCAGCTCAACTCAACTAAACTCACGCGCCCAAAAGGTCATGCGTGTAATTGCCAGCAATGAGGAGACTTTAAAGTGGTGCTGGTACTGGTGTTGTGTGCTAGCGTTGCCAGACTGGTCGCAATAAATAATTGTAATAGGTGCAGCAGCGCACTCGCGCAATTTAGGATAATTTACATTTTTAACTCGCCCTCCTTTCCATCTCCACCACTCCATCATTGTATGCACACCCGACATTGATTTGTGCCGACTATATGCGCATAATTTGCAAATTCGAACTGGAGATGGGCGCTGGACGTGATTCAGATTGGCAAAAACAAATACCTTCTTAAGAGGTCTTTTATGAAATATTTTGGAATCTTTTTTTCCCAAGCCAGTTTGAAGATATACAGTTTGGTAGAAAGTATTGCCTATATATAATAACCATGGATAGTCACGACTCGCGATATATTTAGTGTGAACTATAATAATGCCTATCCTAGCTGGACCTTAAAACACAATGCAAAAATATCGCAAGTCGTTCATAGCCTAACTAAATTATATCTGCCCGGAAAAAATGGAACAAATTGCCGGATTATAGGCATATTTATTTACTATTTTGTTTTGTTTTAAAAGCTACTCACCATAGCATCGGCCACAGGTTGAGATGCCTGCAGCAGTGGCGGCACCGTTGCCTACAACAATACCTCCTCCTGTTCCACATATTCCCGTTGAAGATGTTCCGAAAGTTCCGCTGCCGCCTCCGCCACTCACGTTGGTACTGAGGCCTATGCCACCGGTAGTATTTGTGCCAGCACCACCGATGCCGTTGCTGCCGTTGGGGGTCGGTTTCTTCCAGCCGCGCCAATTGTTGCACAAGGATTCCGGCTCCGAGCTCCAACTGCATAAAGAATCTTCCTCGAAGCGTATAGAATCGTCGAAACTGAAGCGATCCATTTCCTCGGGATTCCATTCATTGTTGCCACCAGCTCCGCCAGCGGCGGCGGCTGCAGCGCTACCGCCATTGGCAGCGTTGGCTTCGGCGCCCGCGCCTCCTGCTCCTGCAGCTGCTCCGCCAGCGGCGGCTGCATTATTGTTGCTGTTGTTGTTGCGGTTTGCAGCCGCAGCTACCGCCGCCGCTGCTGCCGCTGCACCACCGCCACCTGCTGCGTCGCCTCTATTGTTGTTGCTGCTGTTGCGATTCGCCAGTGTGAGGCTGTGAGGTTTGTCTTTTTCGGCTGCTGGGGAGTAGGATGTGCAGTTTAAGCGAAGAAGAAGAGCGGGGGTCGCTCACTTCTCCACTCGATGTTTGCGATGAGTGCGTGCGAGCGTGTGAACGTGATTGTGTGTTTGATTCCTCTTGTTTGTGGGGCGCGAGAATCGACGACAGACGCTTATTCTTCTTCTTCGTGAATTATCTGATTCCTTCAATGGCTGCTGTTGTTATTTTTTCTTGTTTTTTGGATGGATAATTTATGATTTTTTTGTTTGTTTCTTTTTTCTAGCTGCTCAAGTTTTCGTGTAAAAGGCGAAGTTATGAGCGTTTTTTTTTGTTTTTTTTTTTATTCTTGATGGTTTTTCCTTTTTTTATTATGTGTTGAAGCGGTCAGGCTGCGCACTTCTTGTTGTTACTGTTATTGTAGATTTATTTGTTTTAAAACTATTTACAAATGATGTTGTTGCTGTTGCTTGTGTTACTAAACGACGCTGACTGCGACGCTGACGATGGAGTTCGGGGCGCCACTAAAAAATTGAAAACAAAAAACATGAACAAAAGCTGACCGACATGTAACGCACGTAAGTAGAATGGTTGTTGTTGCTGTTGTTGGCAGGGGATCAACAACAAACCACAACAATAACAAGAACAACAAATAATCAAGCACTAGAATTGGTGTGTCTATGTCTTTTTACCCCCCACAGCAACAAAATTGACTCTGACGCTGCCGTCGCTGCTGTTCTTATACTTGCTTGTTAGTACTTTTGGCAGAAATACAAAATAAAAATTGCAAGTTCACTAGTTGACTGAGCTTGCTGTTGTTTCTTATATTGTTGTTGCCTGTGCTTCGTTCACACGCTCTAGGTAACTGTTGTTGCTTTTTGGTTGCTTGCTTTATAGAATGAATGCGTGTGCAGCAGAGCAGTGACTGCGACGTGGATGTAGACGTCGACAGCGGCTGCAGCTGCGACGTTCAGTTTGTGGTCGATGCCTTTGCCTGTTTGTCTGTCTGTGTTAATGTTGTTGTTGTTATTATTATTATTGTGTTGTTGCAGCACCAGCTGCTCGCTCAGTTTCTGTTCCCTTTAGGAACCTTTAATTATTTTTTCACTTTTCTGCTTTGCCACATCTTCGGTCCCGCTCCTTTTTATCCTGCTGCTTTTTTATGTCTCACGCGCGCTCTCTATCTCGCTTGAACACTTGGCCAGACGGACGACTGACAAATCGAGTGGCACGCTCACGCAGTCGCTCACGCTAGCGCTCACGACACACCAATAACATAAGAAAAAAAACAACAACAACAACGACAGGCACCACATTAAATATCAACAACACTTTTCGTGTATATTGCGTATGTGTGTGTATAGATGTGCGTGCGTTTGTATGCATGTTTGTTTGTAAGTTTCTTCGTTGATGATTTTCACTGCGCGCTGCCTTTGTGTATATGTATGTATGTATGTTGTGTGTACCCTGTGGAGCATGGAACGGAGAATTCCTCGACTACAACAATCAGTTACCACTAGTGCCCGAGCAATCTATTTATAATGCATATTTTACACACAAGGGGGGCAAATCAGTCATTTTTATGTGAAGAGAACAATTGGCGCCTTGGTAATTAGCATGTTTGAAGTAGTGTAGCAATAGCGACTTTCCCCTGCACATACATACATGTACAATTCTGTTTATCAAGAGGTTAACCGCCACAGTCAGTTCTACAGGGTATATTTGTATCAACGACGACGGCTGCGCGCATATGTATGTAAGTATATGTGTGTGTGTGTGCGCTAGTGTATGTGTGTGCGCACGAAATGCGTTAAAGAAAACGTCGAAAAAAAACCTTTTTGTTTTCCCGTTTCGAAATATTTTGCTTGCACCACCACCACCACCAACGCAACGATTTCAATTTTTAATTTGTTTCATACATATTTTCGATGCAATATAAAGCTTTAGTTACGTTTTGTTGTTGCCTTTTCATATTCACTACCACACACAGTTTATATCTTCTCTATTTCATTTTGGGGGCTTTTGTTTTTCTATTAAATTTTTTTATACATTTATCCATCACAAAATTCGCGTTCGCGTTCGTCTTCGTCGTCTACTCGCTTTTGCTGCTTGCAATCTATTTCTCTTCTTCCATTTTCTACCATTCCATGTAATTGAGAGAGCGATGCCAATTCGTTTTCCACTTAAGCAGTTGGCAGCACAGCCGCCCCCTATCGATACTGTTAAGCATCAGATGGTATCACCAAAACATTTAGTGTTGTACAAGACCAGTGTGGCAAAACGTTTTTCTTGCCACTAACAATGCACGCCGCCTGTTTGCATTCTTTCCGCGCAATTTCGAAGCGTCAAAGTTTTTTGTAATTTTTTGTATTATTCATATCATCGCCAAAATGCCACTGGCCGGCGTTATAATTGAGCTGCGACCAAATTTGCACAGCGGCTCCGCCGTACTGCGCTTCGCACAAAACATTCCTAACAATGAAACGCGTATCATCCTTAAAGAACATAGCGTAAAGGTCTATGAGACGAGGGAAGATGGCACCAAGGAGGAGCACCTAATTATACACTATAACGCTTTTGGCATGGACATCCATGGTATATCCACATTTATAGTATCTGAGCAGTACATTAGTTTCCGCTTTAACTACAATCACATCGACTTGGATGGCCTTGACAAGCAGTCGGTGCACGTTTCGGTAAAGCCACTGATGCTACGATTCATCGAGGACGCATTTCCCATAACATTGCACTGCAACAATTGTTCGGCGGAGCTTGTGACTGCAACCACATACAAGCGTTTGCGTGAATTTCCCACCGGCATCATCGAACCGGCCGAATTCTATTGCCACTTGCCCGTGGGACCAGTTCCGAAGTCGTCGCTGGTGCCAGCGTCGACAGACCTCTTCTATGGGCTCAACTATGTTGTGGTGGAGTTACGAGGCTTGCAGAAACGCGTTAATTTCCACGGCATTCATATCTACTGTGCCCGATGCTTGCGCATGCTTGGTCATCTCATATTGCAAGGGTCGGCGGCCCATTTGTGGGCCGATGCTCTGCACTGGCGTAATAACTCGAAGGAGGCACAGCCGCAGTCCCTGTTTCAGCACGATTCGCTCACACAATTTATGCTGCGCATGCTGTACTGCCTCTGGCGTCCAATGATGCCGCAGCTGTGCCTCATCTCCGGCAAGGCGTTGCTATGGTGTGCGTTGCCCAATAATGAGCGACGCTATATGGAGGTGCTTGTGCTTGATCCCGAGTTGCGCATCTTGCGTCGCAATTCGCCAGATAATCCCGATCTACGTGGCTATCGCGCTTGCAAGCTCTACTTTAAGGTTGTGAACGAGTACGACGAACAGCTGGCACTGTGGAAGTCTCAGATGAATGTGCCCAAGCTGGAGATATCGCACGTCATGTTTATGGCGCTCGTCGGGCGCTTTGAGAAGCACATGGAGGAGGTGCCGCGCGCGTGGCGCTACAACACATGGGAGGAGAAAATGTTGCTCACATATTTTGTCTATGAGAATGAGGAGGAGGAACAGCTAATGGCCACCAATCACATGATCGCACAGAAGCTCGAGCAGCTATCACTTGCCAACCCCCCGACGCCGCCGCCTGCTGCCCGCAATCTGGCCAGCAACGATGATGCGGAGTGCGATGATGAGCATTCGGATTCGGATGAGACGGCAAAGGCAAAGTGCTGAAATTCCTGCCTCTCCTTAATTTAATAATTTAGTTAGTAGTGGAAAATTGGACACAGACATGCGTTAGAATTGTTTTAGTTGTAGTCTTAAAAACCGTCCTGGCTTGAAGTCTTTTGTTGCCTTTTTTTTTGTGAGACCTGCGTGAAACGCGAAAAAGTTTCAAGATTTGTTTGAATCTTTATATTATGTATGTGTTTTAAGATTTGTTTTTGTTTGATTATTTTTATTGTTTCTTTTTTGATTAGTTGTAAGATGGAGATTGAAAATCTGTTCATTTCATTGTTTGGACATATGTTCTTATATATTTTTGTTTTTTAAATATTTTTCAAAATCTAAATATGCACTGCATTGATTTAATTCGCATGTTAAATTGCAAATTCCATGCATTAGTGCCATTAACGATTGCAACAAGTATTGAGTTAAACAGTGTGTGTATATATATATGTATATAGACTATATGTTTGTATATATGTAAGCACATCTGATTAATTATAGTTGTAGAGAAGAAGACTGCCTGCTTGTGATTGAAAAGGACGATCTCACGCCCGTGTCTTCGAAGCACTTCAAAGTGCCTTTCACCAATTATTCGAATACTTCTCAAAAAAGAAAAAAACTCACACATTTGTAATTCCAATTCGGTAATCATAAGATTTTTCTTGAAGTATGAATTTCCTTGTAACTTCCAGTAGCCACTTGAAATCTTATTTTTTTGGCTTTCTTAGACAAACAACAAACGAGAATACAAAATGAAGAAGAGTTTAGTGAAAAATGTAGTTTTAAGTTTCATTTCTTTTGAACGCAGAATATGAAACTGTTGTATGATGAATGTGTTTTGTTTTTCTCGATTAAATCTACTGAAAATTATTCGAAGCACTGTTATGTTATTTCCCTTACAGTTGGGGGCCACTCACTTGGCCATCCGCTTCATCTGGTTGACCTGCTCAGTCATGGCGATATGGGCGTTGTCCGTTTTATTAATGATCGCATCCAGTTTGTCCAGCTGCGAGGTGACCTTTCTGTGCGCCTCTGCCTTGGCCGCTCGTATCTTCTCCGTGGGAATCGCCGGCTGGATCTCGCCTGGCAGCAGCTCCTCATGATTTGTCTCCGGTTCAGCAGCGGGCTGAACAGCGCTGGCAGCCGCTTGGGACGTACTGGCCGTCAGCTCAGACCCCTCCTGGATGTCGACGGAGCCGCGACTGAAAATGTTGCTCAGACTGCCGCAGGCCGTTTGCTTGAAGCGATTCAGTTTCTGTTGCGTCGACGACAAAATGCTGCTCAGTTCGTCCACTTTGCCGCCACTCCAGCGCAACGACTCGTCCTGCTTCTCCAGTATCTGCACAAAGATTGATTATTTCCGATATAATGTACATAGTTCGAGTATAATTGGCTTGCAAATATATTTCCCCTCAGTCTCAGTCGATTCTTACCGCTGCCTCGGCAGCATCCAGCTCGGCCTGCTCCGCCTCCAGACGCGCACTTCTGGCCCGTTCGAACTCCGCCTTGTCCGGCGGCTCTATACCAAGAAGCTCGGCCCTCATGCGCTCGTATTCGTAACTATCCTCCGCCATGTCTGATGCTGGCAAATAAACTAACTGACTGACGATGTGGCTTTCACCCACATTCATCGATTTTTGACAGTCAAGTTTGAAGGCCCCCAGTGGCCCCGTGCTCGCCGACTTCTTTGTTTCCAAGCAACGCATGCGCCGGCAGGCCCAATTCGATAATCGGGCGTCGAAACTTGCATTCCCTTTCACACAATATTGGGGCATCATTTTTGATGGATTTAGTTTCTTTAATTACTGGATCGAGCTCTCTTAGGCTTAATAGTTCCAAAAGTACATACATACATATATGTATAGCTTCCACTCTACCAATCAACTGGTTTGTTCCTCCTGCTGTTTAAGTTCAACTCTTGAGTACCTTTTGAAAGGGTATGCTTAGAACGACTTGGAAAAGCATGTACTTCCCAGCTTTTATGTTCAAGAGAACTCTGTGAACGGGTGGTTGAACAATAATATATCAGCACCCTGCTAAGGGGTACTCTATTTTTGTCGACATGGAATTGAAAGAATTGAAAATATCGCTATAAGAACGCGTTGAAAAATTTAGAATACTGCAATTGTCTGATTAATAAATAAGTAATTCGTGTGTCTAATATTTTAGTGACCCTGTGCCATACCCCCGATGTTTATGGAAAAATAATCTAAAATTTATGTGGCACTACGGCGGCTCACCCATAATTTCATCTTAAATGCTTGGGATTTATAAGATATTGAAGTTGTTGTTGATATAGGAGTGGCACATTATTCCGGGTCGACATATACATATCTAACCTTTTATAGAAACCAAGACGTTTTAGAGATTGACAACACATTGAAATCTTTTCCCGCTCCATTTATAAAAATCTACTTCGGAACTGGGAGTCGGCCTGCTTTCATTTCACATCAATTGGGCGAAGAGTTCAGGCATCTTTGAGGATCATACATTCAAACGTATTAGTAGAGTTGTAGATCCAAGAAAATACTCTTCATATAATTTTAACGACTACAGAACTGGGAAACTGCCTGCTTGCTTTAATTTCACACCAATGGGGCAAAAAGTTTGGACATATATGAGGGACATACATTCAAACATAAAGGCTTGATCAAAAATTTAATAATTGAATGTCTAATTATATTCCTATAGATTGTAGTATCGCCGATACACATATATATATGTATGTTCGTACATATTACACTTATTTAATAAGTACATAGCGTAGAATAAGCATCCTCTGTTTTGGCTCTAGACTTTAATGTGGCTACGTTATACAAATTATATATGACGTTTAAAAAAAAACACTTAAGACTAGAAGAATGTTTGCCAAAAAAGTAGAAAAATTCTAATACACAATTCAACATAATTGTTCAGTATTGAGTTAAGAAACAAATTGGGATTCTAAGACTATATGTGTCCGCTACTGCTCCATGCTGCGCTCGTAGATTTGTATGTAGGACTCAGTCAGAGTGATCATCTGTGGCAGAATTTTGGTGACATGCAGGTCCTGCATCTCATACCATTGACCGTTCGCCTTGTGCAGAATGTGGGCGCGATAGGTGCCCTTCTTAGGATCGCCGTCGTGCACAATATTGGCTACCAGATTGTATTTGGTATCCTTAACTCCTTTATCGCGTTGCCTCATACCCAGAATATCGCCAAAGTCCACGTTTCTGCGAAATAGGGGAGAAACAGATACAGATTTAAAACAGGATATCTAGTTAGACCCAGCATGAAAAACAGATCATAAATGAAAGCTAATAACTCTAAGAACTACTTATATTGCAATATTATGAAATAGTCCATATATTTAAAGGAGCCTTTTGTCAAGTTCCATCATGAAACCATCTGTCTAAGTTCAAATGAATTCTCTAATTCTTAAGTTAACACTATTGTCGAAAAATTTGGAGCGGTTCCACAAAATTTGAACGGAATATAACTCTTGATTTCTCTAGATTTTACTTGTAGAGACTACACGATAGCTAGTTAAATGTTTATCTTCATCACTCTACTCACTTAATGGGAAAGTTGACGATGGTGGGATTCTTTTCGAGAAAGAATGTGTTCTTGGTGAAGCGCTTGATATACAAAATGATGAACTGTGGCAGGCGCGTGATTTCAAAGCGCTTCATAAAATTGTCCTTATACGTCTTGTACTCCTTCTCCGCCGAGCCATTGAACTTGCCCAGCAGCTGATAGAGATTCACCTGCGGTATGATGTTCTCTCGGAACTCATCGGTGAAGAGCGGCGGTGGCGGTAGGTCACAGGTCAAGTATATAAAGTTCGTGTGCTCTATCTGATCCTTGTACTCATCGGTGGCCAGCAGTTGTTGCTTCTGTGTGTCATCCAGCTCCACTGGTGGTATTTTTCTCGTATAAATTCTCATTTCGCCGAGGAAAATCTTGTACAGTATCGAGGAGTCCGGTTTCTTGTTACCCTTAAGGGCACGATGCAGTGTATTTAGAAACCACGAGAGAAAATCAATGGGATCACCCTGCTCGGTGATCTGGAAACGTTTGCTGGACCACAGCACTACCGCCTGCAGCATTTCGTGTGGTGAGACATGCGCCTTGAAATTGCGCGGATTCCACATTTTTCGCATCAGCTCGCCAAAGCGCTGCACCAACGTGAACATGGAGTCGCCCGGCGGCCGCCTAATGTGCGCATAGTTCTGTTCGCGTAGAAAGTAATCTCGCAGTGGTCCCACATGGGAGAGCGCATGCAGCACCACATTACAATAATCATTGGCCTTGATGTTGTTCAGTCCGACGACGCCGGGCAAATAGAGAACGCCATCCACTGTGCGCGAATGCTTTGGCTCGACTAGATCCAGTTTGCTGATCTCCTGTTTCGTAAATGTCGGATTCAGCACATACTTGATGTCGTCCAGCGAGGAGTCGATAATTTCGTAGTTGTCCGGCAGACAATAGAATCGCAGCGTATGCAGATTGAGGAATACATGATGTGCCTCGCCCACCGAGTGTGTATAGGCGTGTGTGTTGGTGCCACGCCCCTGAAAATATTTGCCACACACGAGGCAGGCGTAAACGTTGATGCGCGTCAACGAAATGGAGCACAATTTCTCAAAATCGAAATCCAGTAGATTGCGATTAATCGTGTCCAGATAGGGACAGACGCGATACTTGGGATTAAAGACCGAGGGTGTTTCTACATACAAACAAATAAGCAAAACAATTACTCAATTATAATGTTGAATGTGCTTAATACTTGCCATCATCTTCCAAAAGCGCTTTATGGGCCTGTATCGACGATGTCAGCCTTTGGCCCTCCAGCTTGGCGCGCTTAGCTAATCAGAGAAATAGAGCTTTAATTAACCGCGAATAGTGCGCCCTTTTCATATTACCTGGAATTTCTGTCATATTGAATAAGATTTGTGTCAACTAACAATTATTATTTGCACCAAATCACCCATTTAACAACAATTCATTGCCGGCCTCTTATCGATATCGGACCAAAACCGATAAGTGTTGGGAAGGACGGAAACTAACTGTCCAAATATCATCGATAAGCACATCGACAAAAAACAGGGTGTTTCATTAGTTCTCAGTGGATGTTTGAAAAGGTAGATGAAAAATTTGAAAATTCAGTTCATTTCCAAGCTGGATAGTCGCATAAGCGATGAGCTGGGGAATACAAGATCATGTTGTGACGACGGTGTCGTGAGGCAGCCCGAAAGGTAGGCACAGATCTACTCCGGGGATCGGTTCAATCCACAATGGTTTTTTTTTTGCAGTAATTCTAAAATTAGAGATATTTACCCCCAATTTGGTTTCACTTATATTTTGGTATACCAATAAGAACTAAAAACTTGTTTTTCGATAGCCGATTTAATTTGAATTAAAGACGCATTTTATCCCGAGCAAGCAATAACTCTTGCTTTTTTCCACAAACTTCAGACTGTCATGAAACCGGCATATTATAAAAGATATTGCTCCTGTCGGCCAACCAGAAAGTATAATACGAATATTGTTATTGTATATTTATAGAAAAATTAGTCATTATTTTTAATAGCGCTTTATTAATGCAAATATCAAATTTTATAACAATAGATACATCAGCTCTATACTATATGTATGTACGAGTATATTATATGCAGTATAAAATATTTGTTTGAAAAAAAAGATATACCAACCAACCGCGCAACCTAAAACTAGCGAAAAAAAAAACATTTTCGTACATACATACATATGTGTACGTACATATATATATTTATATAGTCGTCCAATTTGTTCTCTTTAGCTATATAACATATACATATACATACATACATATAACTAGGGTATAATTCATACATATAGAGATATATATATTTATATATATAAAACATATTAAGAAGGCACATAATTACAAGCGCAGGCGGCACTTTGTGTCGCCCCTGAGGCGCATGGATACGGATGGGTTTGGGTTCCAAATTGTCAAGTTCGAGTTCCTAAAGTGGGCGATATGTGTGTGTGTGTGTGTGTTTGTGTGCTTGTGTGTGGGTGCGTGTAATGTACAGCAGTGGATTATTGAGTATATATAGTCATATTGGATATGCGTATTGCCTAGATTTCAATTCGATTAGTTTCGTTGCACGATTACGAGTTTCGGCTTCTGTTCGCCTTCCTCTAATAAGGATTGACTGCGGCGAGACCCACACGACCGCCGGAACGAGCGAACACCGGTTCTACATAGCTGTGGCGATAGCCCTTGGGCATGTTGGCCAATTGTTTGGAGGGGGCTGGCCCACCATTTCCGCTGCCTCCGTTACTTGGTGTAGGCGTTGGCGGATACACTTCCTGTCGGGACTTGTCGTGAGCGCTGCGTGAAGCACTCGCTGTTTCCACAGCCATGGGTGGTGGCGTGTAGTCACGACGTGAGCTCAAGTACTCACGCGATGGCGCTCGTATCTGGTGGCGACTATGGCTGTCACGCTCTCGCTCCCTTTCCCGCTCACGTTCTCGCTCTCGTTCACGTTCTCGCTCGCGTTCACGCTCACGCTCCCGTTCACGTTCTCTCTCCCGTTCGCGCTCTCTCTCGCGCTCACGTTCTCTCTCACGCTGACTGTAGCCAGACGATGAGGAAGCGCCTGTATCATGACGATACGGATCTCTCGAGTGTTCACGGCGCACCTCATGTTGTGACTGCTGCTTGCTGCGTACGTATTCACGATCACGCAGCTCTCGTGTCGGCTCCTGTTCCCACACATCTCTAGAGCGTGTGCGTGAGCGATTGATCATTGGGTCGCGTAGACTGCGATCTGTTTCCTCTAGACGCGCATCTTCATCACTCCATTGGTCATAGCTAGGAGCTGGCTCTACGGAGCCACGGCGACGACGTGACGAGCCACGCCCACCACCACCACCATTGCTGTCATGTTCATCGGCTAGATCGAAACGACTGCCGTTGCGTGTCTCCAGTGCGCGAAATTTGTCCTTTGCATCGTGGAAGCGGTCGCGTGGCGATACCTGTGACGGGACACCAGCACCACCAGCACTTCCTCCTCGTTCACCAGAGGGTGCGTACTCACGCACATAGTCAGGGTCACGACGTGCCGAATTGCTGCTTGGCGGCTTGCGCACATCGGGTACGTCGGCACTGTAGCGCAGGGCCGATGACTTCATCATCTTCTCCATGCTCTGAATGTATGGCAGACTCTCGGCCTCACGATATGGATTGCGTTCGCGTGAGTGTCGACGCACTGGTGGTGCCTCATCTACATCCCTCTCTCTCTCCCTCTCCCTGTCGCGCTCCCTCTCCCTGTCCCTACGCTCGTGATGGCGCTCTGTGGTGCGTTGTCCAAGATCTGATCGCTGCGGCGAATGTTGTAGTCCACTGCGATGCATGGCCGCGTATTTATTGTGAGCTACGTTGGTAGCTGGGTTGAGAGAGGTCGGCTGCTCAAAGGGAAGGTCTGCGGGATCTGCATAGCGATGTCGACTGCCGCCATAGCGTTGTGTCTCCTCGGCCGCGTAGGACTTTAATTGCTGTTGCTTCTTTGAAGTGTATTCCAAGAACTTTTGCTTGTCGGTCAGATTCTCCTTGCGGTAGCCAATCGAAGATGGCCCATGAAGCTGCTGATCGCTGGCTGGATCCGAGTCATCGAAGTCGTCCAGTTCATCATCGTGCAGCGATCGCTGCTTGCTAGCCGGGTTGTGGCTTCGCTTGTATTGCTCGGGCGAGTCCCGAGCTCGCTCGCGTACACGTTCTATATCCCGCTCTCGCTCCAAATCACGCTCCTTCTCATGACCAGCGGAGAGCTTCTTATTCAGCAAGCGATTGATCTCATTGTATTTTTCTGTGTCGCGTAACTTGGGTGCCACTGGCGGCTCATGCTTGGACTGATGCCGTGGCAATGGTGGAGGCTGTTGATGCTGCTCCAACTGCATGACGCGATTGAACTTGGCATCGTAGTCAGCTGGACGCATAATTACTGGCTTGATTTCATCCTCCCGTGACCAAGATTTGCTTGATGCTGGCGTTTTAGCCCGCTCTCGCTCTCGTTCCCTCTCTCTCTCCCGTTCGCGCTCGCGTTCCGTCTGGCGCGGCATGTAGGGCTTGGCGGGCAAATCCCTCAGATAGCTGTCCTCCGGCTGCATAGCGCTCTTGCGATTCAGCTGTGGATGATGCGGTATAATCGGATTGGATCGCTCCAGGGCGATTTGTGACGGCTTCAGTGCAATGACCGAATTGTCCGCCTCGTTAGACCAATGTTCGTCATCTACGAAGGAGAGGAAAGAAGCGACAGTTTAGAAGGGTTAGGGCTTAAACGAGTGTGTCACTTACCACTGGAACTGTTAAGCTCCTGTCGCTCTGGACTGGGCGCCAAATCGGAGCCGATGCCCGAAGAGCCACGCGAGGACACTTGTTTGCCATTGGCGACAGCTGCTGTGGTTGGCGCAGGAGCGCCCACACCCTTGGCGGGCAATGCACCGCCTACAATCAGGGCGTTGCGGCAGCGTCGCAGTTCAATGGCCGTTAGATTACCCTTGGAGCGATGCACGGTGTCATAGTCACGCGGCGGCAACAACAGAGGCGGCCCATTGCCATTCAACTTGGCACGCAGTTCGGCGGCCAGAGAATCAAATAGATCGCTATTCTGTTGAGCCGTCAGCGGTTGCTGTGGATGGTGTTTGCCATGTGGGGGTGAGCGAGACACTGGAGAGCCAGAGACACCTCCAGTACCGCCACCACCCACATGCTCCTCACTGCACTCGGATTCGCGGGTGCTGTTGCCCGTATCGCTGCCCAGCGAGGAGCTAAAACGCTTCGGCGAGGTCTCGTGACGGCGCTGTGACTGCGATCCCTGATGATGTGGATAAGCCGAGTGAGACTGTGATGACTGATGATGCGACGCTGATGCAGCCGTCGATGCAGACTTGGATGTCGATTCGTGCCCTGACTTGGAGCTGTTGCTGTGACCCGTGGCTGGCAATGGCGGTAAAATGCCGAGTCTGTAAAAATGAATTGGCATTAGTCCATACTTAAGATGGAGAGTTAGGAGTCTAAAAGGGGGACTTGGGTTACTCTACTTAAATTGCATCGAATTAAGTATTCAATGAAATGCTAGATTTATCATATTTATGGAGATTAGAAACAGTCGAAAAGGCTATAGTAGGTTAAGCTACAGCTAGACAAAATTGAGTATGTCGTGAAGTCTTTCTTCGTAGACTGGGGATGCACCTTAGAACATCGAACAACTTTTTTAAGAGCATCCTGTCACAATTGTATTGCGTTTTCTTAATGGCTGTTTAGGGAAGATCTCTCACAATGGTAGAGATCGCTTTATATTAAGAATATTCGAATCCGGAAGTTATGGGATCTTCCAAAAGCTATTTGATCCTTTCAAAGTGGCGGAAGAGTTGTTGGTTGTTGTCTTTCTTTGCTTACTCTAAACATAATGAGACTACTGGCATTACGGAAGCAATAAGGGTCGTGTGGAGAACATCACTTTTGGTGATTAACGATTATACGAGCATGATTGTTTGGAATTTACGAGCAACACTCGCATTCAGAACAATTTTTATCAGTGCCTCACGCGATCGCATTGAAGGCCCTTCACATTTGGCCCCCACGGCTTGGCTCTGACTGACATTTGGAACACTGGAACTGCTGGTTAGCTGGCTGGGTTGGCTGGCGTGGGTGTGGGCGAACAGAACTAGTTCTTCTTTAATGTCAGCCTCGACTGGCGCCCGCAGTACGGCCCGCGTGGGAATGCCAAGCTGTGCAGGCAATTACTGGGACTGGGACTGGGACTGCGAGTGCGAGTGCGACTGAAACTGGCATCAGTAGTAGCCTCATCATCATTATCAGTGGCAGCAACAAGAAAGTGCAAGCTAGTCAGCTAATGGGGTGCCCAAAGTGGTCGTCGTCGTTAAGTGGCGAGTCAGCAGCGGTGCCAGCGACTGTTTCCTGCTTTCTGATGCACAATGTTGCCGGCGTAATTAATTAAAAATTGCGGTAAATGCCAGTGCACTGCAAGCAGCCGCTGCCAAAAAGCCAACATGCCAACAAGTCAACAAGCCACCAACCACTGCGAGTACCAGCGAACTGCATTTCATTGCATAAGTGGCTCGCGAGTGGTGCGAACTTCGCCGCTTTATCAGCAGGCAGTAAAGTTTTGCTTTACGATGCCCATATGCAAAACCGTATTGCCGTTTATTTCACAACATTACATAAACATCCACATATATACATACACATATAGACTTACGAGTGTACGAGTACATATAGTAAGTATAACCGTATACTGACCTGGTCTCCAGCTCTTCGAAACGCTTCTGATTGTCGGGCCTATTGATTAAGATCTGTAGTTGCAGATGCAACGCCTCGGCCGTTGTCTCCGAGTCGCAACGATAGGCGTGCACATGGAGCGGACACTTGGTCGCCGGATTGTAGAGCAGCAGGACGCAGGCTACAATATCGTCGGTTTGCACGGAGCTGGTTATGGCACTGTGTGGTATTAAATGCTTTGACGAGCCCTGAAATCAATTGGGAATTACGCATTTCATGTTAATTGTAGAGGGAATTCTAGAATTTTATAAAAAAAAAACCTTCTAAGTACGAAACTTCTTGCACTGTTTATTCCTATAGCTTACCGATTCTTGAGGACCTTCCGAATATCTTGACACATTACCCAAAACTCATAAATAACAAATTTGTTTAAGATATCTTTCTAAACAAAAAAGCTATCCAGCTAAGACTAATTTGATCCAGCAATGCAAATAAATCACATTAAACTTGCTCTGACAAAACAAGTCTAAATACAAAATTTCGTGTCACTAGCTATTATGGTTTTTTAGCTCTCGGTGCTCATACGGATGGACAGATGTACGAACGAATGAACATGTTGATGATATACTGATCCTGAATGTACATACGTATAGCTGGGTATAAAAATTGGCAGTCACATAGCGATATTTTCTATATTTGTAACAATTAACAGACTTTAAGAATTGTAGCGATTTCACGAACTTCACGACAATTTTGCCTTCACGGATGTCTCGCTCAGTTCTACCCTGTGCTCTGATTGTGGGTTCAGACTTGCGATCCATTTAGTTTAAGGTTTGGTTAACTGAAACCTGAATGAATAATATTCATTCCTAACTATTGAATCTGCCTATTGATCTAATGGGATTTGTCACGAGATCGATTGCGCCAATAGCTTTGATCAAAAATATTGATATGCCAAGTATATTCTGACTTGGATTTTTCATTGGAAAGAATCTTTTGAAAATTATTTTTTAAATATTCACCCACAGTTTCAAGAGCTCCTCAAGCTCTACGTATTTCAATATCCTACCAAATTTGTATGCTATTTGAACTAACTGTTATAGATCGAATATTTCAAAATCGTTCGGTTGCATTTATCAGTTAGCTTTATTTTATTTCTTACCTGGACGATTTTAATGCCTTTGTGCGAAACCTGTAGCGTCACTTTCAGGGGCTCCTGGCCACGTGATCTGTCCACCAAATAGGGCAGCACTGAGTTAATGACGCGTGCGCCTCGCAGACCTTTGGCCTCCTCGGCTCCCAGGAACCACACATAGTAGGAGGCCTTCTGCACATCACGACGCAAACGTAGCGCCATCTTGCGGCGGCCACGAACCCTGACTTCAAAGTACTTATATAGGAGTGTGTGTGATGTGCTCAAGCACTTTAAACAAAACTAAAGTATTAATACACTAGATGTGTGGGGTAAGACTCTCTTCTAGGAATCCGTACTCAGCAGTTGATGTCGCGCATCTGCAATGGAAAATGTTAGGATCTTATTAGGAATTTCTGAATAAAAAACTGGGCCATAATAAATATACAATAGATATACCATATACATGGGAATTGGAGTGGCTAGGGAACTATTTCTCTAGGAGCACTCCATTGTGAAAAAGTTGAAATTCGATAGAAAAAGTAATATACTTGTATGAGCACTTCTTATTGTTTTTTGGCGTATATAGTATATAGGAATAATGAAATAAGAAATATAATAATATAGTCAGTAGTATAAGTAATGGAAAGCACGAATTTTTCACATTGCTTGTGCTTGAGGCTTAATATAATCCGTTTGGGGGAGCATTATACGAGGCAGTATTTATTGATTATTCTATTAGGACTGGGGGCTATACACATTCAAAAATCGAGTGTTCTTTCGTATGCAAATGGGATCTCTGCCTAGGTGGTGCTCGCAAAGGTGCAGCATTTGTGTGGGGCCTGTGTGGGGCAATCGGAAAGCACCGGTTCGCCACCTAACGGGCACCGAGTGCTAAACGAATTTATGATCGGGCCATACCATAAAACCATAATTGCCCAAATGCACCAAACCGCCAACCGCCAACCGCCAACCACCAGACAACCAGATATCCAATGGATGAGGGAGGTAGGTGGTGGTGTGTCATAAAGCTTCGAGAATTTCCAGTCTTGGTTTGATAACTTGAGACGGAATAGGAAAACAGAAAACAAAACTCACACTAAAAAGCCAGAAAGCAACAAACCAACGGTAACAATATACATGCATCTACTTGTATGTATATGTATATGCATATGAGTGTATTCGTGTGTGTGTGTGAAATATCTTCTCAATAATGCCTATAATCTATGATCTTGTACAACTTGTTGTGCGGCGCGCGTAGGCAAAAAGAATCTCGTTTTTTCAGTTATTAAAAAAAAGAAGAAAAAGCCATCGCTATTTTTACAATAAAAAGAAAAACAACGAAACGCAAAAGAGACAAATTGACAAATAAATACACACACACACACACACATAGAGAGAGAGATATGTCAATATATCAACGCTATATGGCCCCAACACACTATAGTATGTGCTTTAAAAATTTACATATGACACAAAAGCAGCGACAACAACAACAACAACAAGAACAAACAAGCAAGACAACAATACGAGTATTAACGAGCAAAAAGATAATAACAAAAAGATACGTGCAAGAAGAAGAAAAAACCTGCTAAACAAACGAAATTATTAACCTCAAAAGGAATTAAAACAATTTCGTTAAAAATAACACAAAATGCCAATAAAAGTTTAACAAAAAAACAAGAGTTCTTTCGCAAAAATAAAACAGCTTCATTAAACAAGATATTAAGATATTAATTCTACCTTTAATAAAAAGGTATATCAGACCATCCCATTGATCTGCCATTGAATTTGTAGGTTTTATGGGAAAATATTGGTATAACTTCCTGTAAAGACTTGACAGAAGTTGGTAGCCTTTATGTCTGCAGGAATCGAAGAGACCATAAAAATATTGGCGGATATTCAGAGTATTCAGTGCCCTCTAATCAATTCAGTACAGTACGGGACCAAAAATAACAAAATTTAAATATTTAAAAACAATTTTTTTTTGACACACCTATTATTGTGTCCAGCCGAAATATTTGTATTTTATGAATTAACCACATGCTAGTTTATTTTTAATAATTGGTAAAGCAATTTATTATTTGTTTTGTAGCTGAATGTTTATTTTGAAAACTAATTGAATTTTTGAGAAAAATTCAAATACATATGAAAGACAAGCTTTTCTGAAAAAATACACCTATTATTCTATCCAGGTGTGTACAAGTAGTATACTTCAGCAGTACAACAAGTCCGTTCGTTCGTTTGTCCGTCTGTATGAATGCCAAGATCTTGGAAAGTAGAAGAGCTAAAGAACCCAAACTTGATATACATACTTTATTCCCACAAGTCCGTGTAAGGACAAGTTTGTGTTTTTTTTTTTTTTTTCTTGAAGCACCTCCTCATTCCCCCCTCATTAGTGTTTGTTCCAAAACCGTCGTAATTTTTGAAACTGCTTAGCCAAGTTTAACAATTACATCCGCTCTCCGCACACCTATTTTATGCTAAAATATATATTTCTAAACTGAATTCGTTTTATTTGTACCATATTTTCAAATTTAATTTAATGAGAATTGGGTTTTTCGATTAAGATTAGATTTGTGTCGTTTTGATAAAAGACTTTTTGCCATTTCTACGATAGCTTCATAATTTCTCTTTCATAAAAACACCGAGCTTTCGTTTGATCAGATATAAACTCTATCCATTATGTTTTTTTTTTGATTGTAAAATATACTGAATTTGTTTCCTAATGGAAGCATCTGCGCTTAACACAAATTATCTCACAAATAAATCGATCGGACTTTTTTCAGAGCTGCATCTTACATTTGAAATCAATATTTTAGGAATTATAACGCATAAAGGGTGGATTTCTTTTTCCTCAACCATCTGTTAAGTGAGAACAGAAAATTCAGAAATGAAAAATTAAAAATATTTAAAACATTTGATTCATTTATGTATATACTTGTATGATTCAGTTGATTCACTTATAATATAAGATAAAACTACATTCTATTTAATGGATCGGAAAACTTGCATACCTTTTTCAAGTCCTATCCTACTATCCCTACATATATTGAAATGACACTAGAAAATCGGGCAATTTAATCAAAAAAGAAGGAACAAAGTTGGGAGACACTACTATAAAAATATTCTAAATATTTTTGCTGTTCAAAATCTAACCACAGGCATATATGTATATAAGCATATTACTTCTGTACATTTCTTTTCTCAGCCTGAACGCTATTTTTATATTGTTTATATATATTTATTTTTTTTTTTTGTAGAAGTCGACTCAAGGCATTTGTCGGATTATCTAGAGTGGCTGCTGTTTTCTAAAGCGAAAAAAAGGCAATTCGGCAAATATTTGAAACGACAGAACTTCCACTTTTCTCACGTACACACGATCTGATAAAATAGTGAATAATAAAGTTTGATACGAGTTCCAGTATTTTTGGCAATACGAGTACACGTGTGAATAGACGAAAAGTTGATGGATGCCGCTAATCTCGTATTGTTATTGTTTTCCGAAATTGCACGAACAGCGTGTCACAATGCTTTTTCTCATCCAAACTAGTATCTTGTTTGTTTCATCTCGTGACACCCGTACCCATATAGAAATAATCTCGCATAGCTGATAAGATATCATTAGAGAACAGTTAGTTGAAATGTTAATTATGTGTTGGCCCTATGGGGAGGCTTTTCTAAATCTAAAATGCCAAAGGTATTCTGTTTAGCATCGCCAAGGGTGCTACTTAATGGCTACGATATGGTTGAACAATATTTGAGATAAACCTCTTACTACGATTTATTAAGAAACAACATTATATCGCTCAGATGATGAGTTGGGTATCATTTCATTTTAGAAAACATTTCAAAGGTGTTCCCAATAACAGCCATATCATGGAAACATAATTACGCATATAGTTCTTGCTGTGTTAGTTAACTGAAGATAGTGTTGATATAAAGAATTTATGGCAAAACACAAAAATGTTTTCAATTGAAAGTTAACACATCTGAGAATCCATTATTATCACTAAATGATTTGTAGTGTCAATGTACATATGTTTGAAAATTCTAAAGAAGCACATTCTTAAAAAAATAATTGAGTGATCCCAATAGGAAGCTGCAATAACTCAGGAGACATGCTTTCGATTTAAACCGCCAGTTGTTTTGGATCAATAGTTTGTAATAAACTCTTAGCCGTTTATGTTTATTTAAACAAACAAAACAGAAAGCAAACTCTGTCTAACAATATAAGTACAATACACAAAACTCAGACTTGGACCCACAAACCCAACCAATACACACTATATCGATCTAATATACACCAAATTCTCACATCTTGCTCATTCCTCTTTAACCATAGATTCAATCATATCCCTCGCCCTTAACTCCAATTATTCTTAAAAAACATAGTATTAAGTCAATAATGTTTAAATACTGCTAGCTAGAAACAACAAAGCTACCTTAGTAGTTCTTACTTTAAGGTATAAAGAATTATATAATAGTATATTTTTATCTAAAAAAAAACCATAAGTTAATCTACTAAGATGTTTTAGGGAGTCAATCCAAAGTTTCACATTGGCTTAAATTCGTTTAGGAATAAAGTCTTTTAATCAGAGGAAGAATTTTGTTTTAAATAAATTTCAGCTCGTTCGGGATTCTATTTAGATTTAGAATTAGGGAAACTCGCAAACTCGCTAAGAATTGATACTTCGTTATTATATTTAATTTATTCAAAATATGAAAAAATCGTGTAAATTCCAGATGTCTTCAAATTGTAAAAGAAATGTTTAAAAGCTTTAATTTATAATCTGTTATACTTGTAAAGTATTAAAATATTTGAATAATTTTAAAAGAATTGCGTAAGTTTTGAAAGTTTTTGAAATAGTGAAAAGTTTTAACTCGCCAAGAATTAATATTTCGTTAATATATTTAATTTATATAAAATATGAAAAACAAATATGGTATATACCAGATCTCTTTAAATTATGAAACATATGTTAAACAGCTTTAATTCGTTCAAAATTAATAATCTGTTATAAAGTTAAAGTATTCATGTATTTTTTAAACAAATGAGGTTGTTTTTTTTTAAGTTTTTGAATTAGTGAAAAGTTGCAACTTGCTAAGAATTCATGTTTCGTTATAAATTGAGTAAATTCCAGATATCTAAGATCTCTTTAATTAGAGAAGATAACTATGTATGTTTAAAAGCCAAGATTAAAGAAAATATTCATTGATTAATATTCTGTGGGAAACTGGTTACTTATTTAGAGTCTGTGAATGTTTTTTTTCCAACTAAGTAGTATTACTAAGAACGCAGATCATTTCTATGCTATGTTTGATTCAAGCACTTGTTGTTGTTGTTGTTGTTGTTGTTGTTTTTGTTGCTGTAGCCAAT